GCTATTGCTACAAATATACCCCAGCGACTTAAGACTGGTTTTGTATATAAAAATAAATATATAGACATTTTTTTGCTGACTGGGCCATTTTGTACTTCCAGGGACCCGTATGGTTGGACAGCTGTCCACCACGCCTCTTTTAAGGGTCATCTCATGCTGATCAAGTTCCTGTTGCAAACCGGCCAGGTGGAGGTAAATAGCCAGGACTTCTTCAACTGCACTCCCCTGCATCGCTCCTGCAGTGGAGGAAACCCAGAGACCACAGACTTTCTCCTCCAGAAGGGGGCGTCACATTCAGCGAGGTCCTGCTCCGGCCAGACGCCCCTTCACCTGGCTGCAGCCAGCGGACACCTGGGCACAGCTCGGGTTCTGCTGCAGCACTTGGCCTCACCGAACCCCCAGGACTTTCATAAGTGGACACCCCTGCACTGGGCAATTTTTGGAGGCTGGGGGGATGTGGCGGAGCTCCTGCTAGATAATGGGGCAGACGTAGAGGGAGGAGAAGGTGTGGGCACGAGCCCCCTACAGCTGGCGGTGTTGGTGGGGAATGAGGTGGGGGTGAGGCTACTGCTCCACCGAGGTGCAGATGCCAATATGAGGGGTCCTAATGGGCACACAGCCATGCACCTCTGTGCCTGCTCTGGAGACAAGAAGGTGACTGACTATGCGCTTAAAGTCTGGTCAGCTTTAAAAATACCAACATGTAAAGCAACCAACCATTGTTTGTTTGGTTTAGGAGCATAAAAAATATAAAAAGGATTATACCCCTGTAATAGACTGTAAGAAGTCCTACTACTAATTTATTCGAAGCATGGCTCATAATATCAACCTGGTACTTTTTAAAACATTGTTTAGAGAGGTTTAAGAAGTCATAATGCAAATGTAGGTTTTCACAAATGCTTTCAAATGTGCAAGATGCACTGAAAAAAATTCATATTAATACCATTTTTATATTGGTCTAAGTGAAAATCATGGTTTATGGTTGGTCTAAGTGAAAATCATGGTTTATGGTTTAAACCTGTTCTGTTCAGTTTGCAAATAACCCTTCCCTTTGAAAAAAATAAAACATTCAAGTCTTTTGGAATCTTTATTTAATATAGCTTTTATTTATGGTGAAATTGAATTGTACAAATCTCCAAAATATTATATTGACCTACATTAAGAAACATTTTGGCTTGTGTCTAAAGAAAATCTATTAAGTATATACGGCATTTATAATCAATAATCTTTTAACTTTGTATGAATGTTTTGTCTTTTTGAAAGGACATGTTTTTAATTAATATGAAATCAAAATTTTAGGTTTGAACCAAACCATAACTATAATTTGAGAAAAACTAATCAATTTGGCCTTAAAAAATTAGAGTATTGTTAAGTTGGTTCA